CACATTCTTTTTGTGTATGTTTTAGGTCTCGCTTCCTTCGTGCTTTGCTTGACTTAGAGCAGATGGGATTGGTGCGGCGTACCAAGCGTAGACGAGATCATGCACAGAAAATGCCTGTCATGGAAGTACCTGTCAGGCCTTAAGATGTTTTGCTATTTTTTATAGCTTTAATAATCGCTTTTGGACACAGGGACTGTGCCTAAGCAGGCTCAACAGACACTTGATTATGCAATAACCGTCTTCTGCTGAGTATACAAATATAATTATTGCTTTTGCTGTGGAAAGTGTGCTTACGTTTTGAAGGCTGATGAACATGTAGGCGTGTTTTTGGGACGAGAGATGTGCTGTTGCCTGTGCTCTGGGGCGGTTGGTCATTACTTTCGCCTCCAACTCATACCTAGTGCCAATAACGAGGAACGCGATGACTCTCTGTGCTTCCCTACCAAGATTTGTTGTTCTGTGGATTCTGTGTCGAAAATACGACGAAGGTAACAATGTGTGTGTAGGTTTTTTTTCTCCAGGGAATACTTCCGCGGCGGCAAGGTTATTAAAGAACAAACGAGTTAGACGTCAAACATTATAGTGGAGAGAAAATCTTGCTGTATTCGGGAGGAGTTGTTTTACGATTCAGGTTTCGAACATTCCTTTCTTCTCCTTTGCAAGGTAGTTTTTAGTTGCCTTGTTGTGAGCACAGTAAACGATTTTTTTGGAATTGAGAGCATGTGGTGTAAGCCCTTCTCACTCGTCAAGCATCCGATCCAAGTGTTAGTTGACCTACAGAATGTGCTCGTTTCCGCTGGTTGTATTTTGCCTCTGAAATCCAACAGATGTGAGACGACAGCAAAGTTACTTCATCGTCTGCGATTTGGTTGTGAATTTCGGGATTCTTTTAGGTCGACAGAGGGAATTATTCGCAGACGTTGGAAGGACTGCAATGCCTTGACCAAGTGAGCTGCCCTCAGGGTCACGCTAGCAGTCGCAATTCTCCTCTCTCTACCGAATGCGGGTGTTATATTCAAGTATTTTTCCTCCATCTGTGTGTCTAAAGGATACATTGGTAGCGATGGAGAGCAAACGCCACCTTTAAAGGACCTCATTGTGCTTTCTACCGTTTGTGACATTTTAAAGGCGTGCAGAAGTGTATTTAGCGCAGATGGAGGAGTTCCTGCCTTCTTCATAGTAAAAGGGGATAAAAATGAAACCCTTCTGGGCTTATTCTGTAGTACTCTCGGATTCATCTTGTCCTTGTACGCATGGGTTGGGTTTCAGCGCAAGCCAATTTCTGAATTCTTCTTTTCTACATAGAATGCATGCATTCAGCCCAACTTGATGTTATCTGTCTAGTGGAAAGTCTTAGGGCGCTACGCTGGTGGAAGAGGAACGCCTTCCATCGTAGCATTTACCGTTTGTGTCACATCTACGGTGTAGAAGAAGCACTCATACGTCGGGTCGGCGAATCGCTCAATTTTTTGCGACATAAGAGTCGACAATACTGACTGCGTTCGGCTCCTCCTTGTTCTCCTGTTCCACAGACAGGCAATTAGCAGCTTTTCTATAGCAAAAGAGATAAAAAACAATGCCTCCTTTTTGGGCTTATTCCATTTGCTTTTCCTACAAGGAAGGTATTAACAAAAGAAGCAGTGCTTGTGGAGAGTTCTACTTCTGGACATTTTTTTATCAAAGCTGCATCAGGTTGTCGTCAAGCGCAAAAGCGGATTCTGAGTTTGAAGGAATTGTGGTAAAATGCGTACCTTCACTGTGTCGAACTATTGCAGTTGCAGCAATTGCTTTTCCCAAATTTAAAGGAAATTTTACTTCTGTAGAGGGAGCGTCGACGCTGTTGTCTGGCATTCCCTCAATAGGGCTCAACTTTCATGAACGGTATGGTAGGTTTGTAGGTGTTTGTTTTCAACATCAATAAGATTTAGGTGAGGATGAAGATTTATCAAGGCGGGTGGTGGTAACAAGGATCAAGAGAACGTAATCGTTCAATTGACGGTTTTGGTAACAGTGATGAAAGTGATCGTTTAAACTTTAGTCGTGTCAGCAGTCACGGTCTTCCAACCTTCTGAATGTGTGTGCATACTCTATCCGTCAGTTGTGCACACTTGACTTTGAGAGGGTCTTGCCAACCTTCAGAAGCCGCAAAAGATGAGTATAGTCGCGAAAGGTATTCAGCTTTTATGTAATTGGTAAGGTGAGGAGCATAATTGAGGAAAGCTAAATAAAATTCTCTAAGCGAGGTCAGAAGGTGCCACAATATTGTTTAAAAAAGTCAGTAGTAATACGTAGAGGGTGTTCAAATTCAGAGGCAATTGCTGATGTGAAGCAAAATTATGATTGGTTTACCTCTTATTGGAGGAGAGGAAGTAAGGTGGAGTTGTGGATGATGTTGCTACAATGATGCGCGTTCATAAACTTGTGGCTTACCGACACCATCCCATTCGACCCAACTCTACACCGAGCGACCCCATCCGATCCAATTGCACACCACGTCATCGTTCCATCCCACTCTGTTCGTGCCGCACACGTGAAGGAGTGGAGAGAAGCAGTGTTTTGGCAGAGACGAAGAAGAAGAAGAAGAAGAAGAAGGTGCCCTTCAGTCGGATGAATATTTAAACACTCAAAACTCCCCAGGGCAATTTTACCACCTTTTTCCATCACCACTTCATAAGTGAGGCTGAGGTGTCTCCACTCGTACCTCGCACACACCATGTCTCTCTCCACGCGTGTTGTGTGTGTGTGTGTGGAGGCCTCATAAATGTTGCAGACATTCGCGTGATGGCTTTCGCGGTGTGAATGCTTCGCCAAAATATGCACAAATTATTAAAAGCCCTTGCATTGGGCAACACGAAAGCACTCGTCCTCCACTCCCCATCTACCACATCATGATCGCGCCAACTCCTAACGACTGCAGCAAAACCACATCCACACGCATGCACGCATACAGGCACGAAAGTTGAATGGAAGGAGAGACAGAGGTGGAGGAGGAAGGAGGGTTGGAAAAGGATTGGGACGGAGAGGTGAGTCATGGAGAGGACTGGAAGTTGGGATGCACTTCGAGTGACTTGCGACATGTTCTCGCACACTCACTTCCCATCGTACCTACTCCCAATGACTCGCGATTCGGCCAACCGTTGTATCACGACATTGCACTACGTTGGAGCGTCTGGGAAAGGCAGATGCACGTTGATAGGTCAAATCACCAATTGCAATCATCGTACAGTCAGGCACACTGCATCGACATGCAGTCAAGTAGTGGCAATGCAGTCAATTCCACTCCTCCTTTCCCTCTCGCCGTGTTTGTTGCCTTCCCATCGCACCACTCTTACTGCCCTTCCTCTTTATTCAGGTACTCACGCCCACCTACACATTTGACTTCGACTAATCACTTACGCATTTCAACTTCAAGGTGGTCGCATCACATGCTTCTAGTGATTGCACAAATGTACACCGCCACCTTCCTTCTCCTCCTCCTCCTCCTCCTCCTCCTTTTCCACTTCTTACTTCTCAGCATACTTCGCCTTCGCTTTTGTGTGCGCTGATAGGAATGGAGGAGGCGAATCCACGACCACTCACCCTTCCCAACATGCATCCAACATGTTTTGTTGGCATTGTGTCCTCTTCACAATGTCAGTCGTTGGGTGTGTGTGAAGTGACGCTTCGTATTGAAATGCCGTGTGTTAATGCAGTCAGACGGTGGGTGGTGAATAGCCAGAACAACTGGGCCACTGTCACAGCAAACGAAGATGCGAAGGCAGAATGGTGTGGGACATTGTGATGGTGAAGAGAAGT